CAGGTTTTGTGGTATTTTATTCTCATTATTAAGGGCGCGCGTTCAGTGTCAATGGTGCTTCATTGCAATAAAGGTGCTTTAAGGCTGTCGTACTGTCGTAACGTTAGGGTGCTCTAACGCCATTCGGCCAGCATATCTCCAAAAAACCGTCCTCTGACAGCATCTTGTGCGGCTCCCACGTCCGGGGTAGACGACCGTATTTTTTTTGTCCGCCACAGTACTCGATAGAGTTTCTCGCCTCTAACTGTAGTGACCCTATCCTTGATGTATGCCACTCTCCATGTCGGTGCAGATTGGAGAGCTTTACAATTTTTCTTGCGACGTGATGGTCGACTCGATCTTGCTGAAAAAGCCGGTGTATTGATCTTAGTTAATCTCGCGAGAGCTCCTCCTTGGCTTCACGTGAGTCTGTAGAGGCTGTTGGTCTGACTGCGTGTCTTCTAGTTGCTGCAATTGAATGACGTGTTCTAAAGATTGGTCGATGCACGCACGTTTCTCCACCGGCGACACCGTAGGCTGAGCAGATCTCACGAGCATTCCTAGGGCTGGTAACTGCTTGTCTAATGCTGCCGCGACAATGCCACAAGTCATTGGCATAACCTGAGCCGACCGAAGCATATTGTCTGGGGCTGGCGTATTATTACAGAGCTCCGGACCAATATACCACCGGTCAGACTACAGACTACTGAGACTTGGCAATGGAGACGGGAGGACTTGGCAAAAAGACACGACAGGACTTGGCAAGGAGACGAAAAACGAGAGAATGAGACCACCTACAGACGCGCTGAAAGGCGACTGTGTCGCATGCTATACCACACACGTCTTCGACAGTCTTGTCGAGCTTAATCTGATACCAATTCAGAACGTCTTCAACATAAGAACCTTCTAAAACTAATTCGAGCATGATATAAAGTTCGAAGGGCAAAAGTGGTGGACCTGACCAAAACCCTCTCAACGAGGAGAGCTCAAAACTGACCTCAGATTGCTCATAGCTGCTCTGGAAGCCTCAGAAACCGAAAACAGATTTCTGTGTAGCCATTTTTGTAAACTGACTGAACAGTTTCAAGAGGGTCTATCTAACCAATCAGGATTAAACAATCGTTTCATCCAATAACATTCCCTGATGACGACCCAGGGAGGCTGTTAAGGTTAGGGCTCGTCATGCTCTTTATTGTGTTCTCTCTGGAAATTAATACTGGGAGAACATTGTACTTGTGACTCTTATATCTTATATCAAAATGACTGGTTGCGGCGGTTATTTACTGTGTATTAGACTACCAGATACAAACAATAGGACCTTATCGTTCCCACTAATACCAATCTCAATTTTCCTTTTTCTTTTCGTTTCAAACCTTATCCCACGTGTCCTTCTTCTCAACACTCTACACTGCCGGAAGCAGATGCTAACGTTTTCACGACGTTTGACATCAATTTCATTAATTTAGGAAAATACGTTGAAGTGAAAGTACTTTTTATTCAAAAAGTACTTTGTATAGAAAAAGTGCGCATTGGTTTCGGCCCACTTTTGATCTTTTTTTATTATGGTGGGCCACAAGCTATGAGCAGTCAAGGAAATAACTTTTTTCATGAAAAGTGCTTTATGACGTTTTCAGAAAAAAATTGAAAGAGAAAATATTTTGAGAGATCTGATTGGCCGATAAACAAAGATGTAAAATGGATGGCATTCAGACAAAAAGAACCATTAAGATTTAACAGTTTTATTTCGTCTGAATGGCATCCCGGCCAATCAGCATGCGTATCGACGAGTGTTTTTTGAACACGCCAAAAAACACACGTCCTTCTCGCTATTAACACCCTTCAAATTTTTATTTTTTTTTCGTCTGCGCTTATCAGACGAAAAAAACCATTAAAAATTTGTTTGATGGGGTTTTTCGTCTGCATGCCATCCAACGGCTCTGCTAAACTTCTAAGTCCAGATCCTGTCTAAACTTGTACAGTACAATTTGTACTGATTCAGACGATCCCCTCGGTAGTCATCGCGCTGGGTACTTGTTGTACATGTGTAAGAAAGCTTAGTCACCGTACGTTCTGCACGTTCGCGTGCCAAACGCAATTGCAATGGGTGGGCGAAAAAAGCAGCAAACAAAATGGCGAGTGTTGCCGTCTTATTGTATAATACCTGGCAG